GCGCGCGCGCGCACACACACACACACACACACACACACACACACACACACACATTTATTTATTTATTTTTTCCGGAATTTTCAGAAAAGTCCACTTTCATCTCTGTTCATAACATCACATTTTTTTCCCAATATCACATAATCCCAGTACTTTGGATTGGTGTTGTATTTTTTTGGAGCGGAAGGGACCAATGTATTCACGCAACTTTTAACTCTCTTAACAAGTAGTTAGGATTGTGTCCACCGTGTACAGTTAACTTGAAGTACAATACAAGAAACAGATCATAGTATTTAAAGGGTGGCCAAGTCCGGTCCTGGAGAGACCCTATCCAGCCTGTTTTACATGTTTCCGTCCTCCATCACACCTGGTTCAGATGACCAGGATCGGTATCAAGCTTCTACAAAGCTTGCTGATGAGCTCCTCTGCTGTATTCCATGAGGTTGTATAGAAAAATCCAGTTTCCTATTGATTCTTTCCCCTCCAATGAGTACAGTATGAACTGTACCAACTTCCATTGAAAGAATTAGTCTTTTTAAATGTGATTTTCTTTTTTTCTTTACACTGTAAAATAAAAATGCGTCATCTGAGTCAAAATGGCCCTTTCAACACAATCCTTAAAGGGGAAGTCAAGTCAAAAAATGTCTTTATCATAATCGTTCTGTGCACCCCCACCAGTCTAAATTCGGTATCAGGATAAATATTGCATTTGTGGAATATGATTGAGGCAGGAAAATCAACCAATTTTATCCATCTCATGGTGCAGCCATTTTGTCTTGTACTGCCACTTGCTGTCGACATCACATGACTAAACCCAGAAAACAGGTGAGCCACGACGGTTCTTACCAAAACCTTTAGGCACTGTGGTGTCATCTCCAGTCGACAGAAAGTGCCCATTCAAGGCGAAATGTCAACCCCCTGAGATTAATTAAAACGACTGGATGTTTTTGCTGAATTCATATTCCACAAATGCAAAATTAATCAGAGTACTGTGTTTAGACTAGTGGGGACACAAAATTATATCGTAAAGAACATTTTTGACTTTACTTCCCCTTTAATTTGGACAAAACAATTTAAATGTCAGAATTTACATCAATAAATTAACAAAAATATTTCCCTTGGGCTCAATATGTAACAAACAAGCTGTACCATGAACAGAAGGAAAGGCTGCTGCTTTAAATACCCAATGCTCCCCGAATGCCACTCACAGGACTCCCTTGCCAAAGGACATTGTCGAATGCTTTCTCAAAGTCCTCAAAGCACATGTAGACTTTTTGAGTGAAACTTCCATGCACCCAGAGAGGCTGAGGGAGTATAATATGTGCCACCAGAAACGGAATTGGAATAATTTATATTTGAATTTGTATTGTTAAACTTGAAAAAGCGCTTTGAAAAACGGAGTCTAATTTCCATCAATTGAATTTGCATTGTTTAACTTGAATCTTTACAGTATTCAAATTGTACAATTTGAATTGCATTTCAGTTGCGTATACCTTTTCACATTGTGTTACAAATTCACATCTTTTCCACACAGATTCAATTGTAGCGATTCCAATTGATTCATTTTTCAGATTGAATTTCTTTCTGGTGGCGCATATTCCACAGCCCATAGAGGAGTGTGTTGTGATCTCCCTGAAGTGTAATATTAGATGAGGAATCATACCGTACATCACCAGAGATCATTGGCTGTTTGTGCACAAGGCATGGAACTGTTAAAACTGCAATTTATGGTGACGAACGTAAGGCAGATATACCAAACCTTGATGAGTTTTCACGACTGCACAGTAGAATTTTAACACGGTACAGGATAAAAGATGTGTATTGTTTCAAACTCCGGAGTCGCATACAGTAAATAACATAGCAATACAATGCCGTGATATTTTAGGCAGGAAAAGTACATCGACTTAACCATTTTAAACACTGACAAGTCATAGCCATCACAATGACTAAATAATGGATTGGACATTCATCCTGTCCAATTTCTCTCATGCAGGTGGGAGGTGTTGTGGTCGGGGGAGCCCACTAAGGTGCTGGCACCCCAGGCTCGCCAGTTTTCACCTAACATCAAGCATATCAGTTTTCCCACCAACCTGCTACGCCTGGAGGTCAACAGCTCTCTTCTGGATTATTATACTGAGCTGGATGCCGTCATCCTCCGTGGCGTCAAAGAGAGGCCCATGCTCGCGCTCTACAAAATGCCTGTCATTGACATCATTGACCTGAGTGACAGTGAAGAGGACCTTTCTGATCTGGGCGGTCCATTCAGACAGTGTGCAGAGAGCAGGACAGGCAACGGCTACTTTGACAAACTACCCTATGAGGTGAATGACTTTGAACTCTAATGAGGCAAGACTTTCTATTCATTTGATTATTTTTGATGACTGAAACTAAATTGTGACTTTGATAAGGCTGTTGCTAAATATGACGTTTAAGTGGCTGTTTTTTTGAGCAGAAAGGGAAGATCAATAGCACACAACCTGAATAAACTAAACAAGCTGAGCTCCCCACAAGACAATTGGAATTTGTCTAATACTTTGCAATCATGGGAGCAAAACGGCTGATGACGTGCCACCACCATCTGAGAACTTCAAAGTTTTGCTACGCCACTTATCGACAAAACTGACGACTGACTCGCTGATGCCTCCAACACTCAGTACCTGTCTGAATCATCAGCTAAGGGATAGAAACGTCATTCATCCTTTAACGAAAGATACTACACACAGCGATAGTGAATGAATTGTTTTATCTGTTAAAATTGCTCAACACAGTCATTACACAACTTTACTATTGACAAAAAAGCAGCTGTAGCAAAAGAAAGATTAACCAATCCTATGGGAATACTTTTCCTGTTGAATCACTTGGTTGTGCAACAAATTGTTGCCAATATATACAGTGCAAAATTATCGTAGAGTACTGTGTTGGTGGCCTAAAGATGCCCAGGACAATAGGAAGTTATTGTAACTAAATATCAAAAAAGCTGGAAACTGTTTCAAAAGTTTCACACTTTGTCTAAATTTACCTCGCTGGTCCTTGGGAACGGTGATTGCGTGCAGTTCGTTGTGTTCACAAGCTGCGATGTTAGTGCATTTCCTTCTATCATCTTGGTTATGATTGGATGCCACAAATAAGGGCTTGACAAGAAAAACATATATATTTTTTGAAAAACATGTACACATACTAGATAACAAGAGCTCGCTCCATAAAACAAAATTCATCGATAGGACCAGAGTTAGAGTGGGAGACATTTTTAGCCCTGAAGTTTCATGGCTCTGAATGGCACACTTTAGTTCATATTTTCATGTCGATGTGCAATTTCAGCCTCATTTGTTCATCAATCCAATCTATCTTACCATTCTTTCTAACAATATTCAACTGATATTTCATCAACAATGACAATGGAATGTGCTTAAAAGATCACGATCAGTCTTTATTTGAAAAGGTATGAGAACGTAAATAGTGGAAATGGAAAAAAAGACAAAAAGGCACCAATAGGCAAGTGTCCAGAACAAGACACTTGACACCGAACAAGGCATATTTATATTTATCAAATGCTGCTAAGCCAGCAACATTTTGGCAGCGAACACGAAATTTCCTGTTCGCGCTCTTCATACACTACTCAGCAGACTGGCGCCAACCTTTCAATTGCCATGGCTTTCCCAACATGCTTTGTTGCAGTTACAATTAACAATTGTGACTGTTTTATGCCTCGTTAATTGATATATTTTCCCCCTACCGACAGGGTGTAATATAGTGACAGCGGTGTTGTTTCTAGTGGTGCATTAAGTTATGGCATCTTTTGGTATTAAATAATTTTGACTTGGTGACAGCCTAACTAACAAATGTAGTGTTTTCAGTGCTCTAATTGCATAAAATGGCCTACCAGACTCCATTAATACATTAGTAGTACATTTTGTGTGAGAAGCAATAAGACCTTTAAATGTCGCATTTTGTCTGATTTCAAAACAGATTGCGGACCGGAAGAAATTAATGCACAGGCTGGCTCACCGGGAAATCGCCCGGTTTCCAGATTATTGACGCTCTGCCTTTTTAGCTACTTGCTTACATACATTGCTTTTTCTGGCACAGTCACCCCTGGCAACATGGCCGCCACGTATATCCATGCATTGCCTGTAACGTGGCTACCACGAAGGCATGTGACGGCCTGCTCTGGTCTACTGTGTATCAGCGTCACAACCCGGAAATCCGTCTCCCAGTCGCTGACTGTTGATTGCCCCACAGCGCCAGTGAACAGCAGCCAATTCTGGAGCCAACGAACTGACAAATACTTTACAAGCGGGCGTTTGGAGTTATATTGTGAGTCTATTGGTTCCGGGTGTGTTAAACCGAGGTTCCACTGCACATACAGTATTGACGTAGAGGGCCTGGCGCACTGATAAAATAAACATAATAAATCAATTACTGTAGTACTCCCTACTTCAGCTTTGGGCCCATTATAAAATGTGAGTGGCAGGTATTGTGACAAACATCTGACATTCCTGCATGAATATATAAAGATGTTTTACATATATAAAACCATTTATACTAAACTCCTCCATCTTTTCAAGGACAAAAGGTGAATGTTTTGCCAATATATCCCTTTTTCTTTTTTGATCATATAATTGGTAGAATATTATGAGATTTGTGCCGTATTTTTGAGGCTCACTTGCTAAAAATGACTTTCTTCCCTTGTTCAACCTTGACTATAATCTCATACCATAATGACTTGGTCCTGGAAAGTACTGTATTTTCCACACTAAAAGGCACACTGGATTATGAGGCGCACCTTCAATGAATGGCCTATTTTATAATTTTTTTCATACATTGGGCGCACCGCATTGTAAGACGCAATCTACAATGCCTCCACTAGATAGAGCTATGCTCAAGGAAACGCAAACAGAACGATCAGATGTCAGTAAAACATATTTATTGAAGCAGCGACACAGTTCACTTAACCAACAGCAAGTTATAACATTGGCTTGTTAACGTTGAACTCTCCTGCCGCTGCTCTATTTCCGTGTTCAACTGCATAACCGATCACCTTAAATTTGAACTCTGCGTTGTCAGCATGTCTCGAGCAAGGAGCCATTTTGGGGTCGAAATATTACCGTAATGACCATACACAAGGCACATCGGATTTTAAGGCGCTCTGTGAGCTTTTAAGAAAATGGAAGGCGTTTAGGTGCACCTTTTAGTGCGGAAAATATGGTACAGCTGTTTTCTTAAAATGGGACGTTTTCATCAAATTACAGCGTTTTTTTTCTTGTCAAGATTCCGCCTTTTGTCAATAAAACCTAAATTTCTTATCATAACATGACTACCAATTATTTTCTTAAAAACAGGCAACTTCCTATTGCTCTGCCATTTAGAGGTATAGTAGTTAAGTTAGCGTTAGGGATATGAGGAGGCACTTGGAAAAAATGTCTCCCCTATGAGGGGTTTCTGGACCCAAAGAGTTTGCTACCCCCTCCATCCACTATTGATTGATCTTAAAAAAAAAAAAAAAAATTAGTGAGTTCTGATGGTAACTTTACGGGCTGACTGGTTCATTCCCCTTAAAAGAGAGTTGGTAGGAGCAGAACGCTGAATTGTTCGAAAATTTAATTTCTACACATTTATTTTCCATTTGAATTATCGCTATGTACTGCATATATATGGTGAGGTGTTGTTCCCTTGTGCCCCCAAATTTCCACTGTGTGCTCATCTTTGTTTGCTCTGTTATTTGTTTTGTTGGCTTCTCTCCTCAAGTTTTTTTCCCCGTTCTCTGATTTCCGTCCCCATCCTTAGCTCATTCAACTGATACTCAGCCACCTGACCTTGCCAGACCTGTGCCGTCTGGCCCAGAGTTGTAAGATGCTACACCAGCACTGTTGTGACCCGCTGCAATACACCCAGCTGAGTTTGCAGCCCTACTGGGCCAGGCTGAGTGACACCTCCTTGGGACACCTGCAGAGCCGCTGCACACGCCTCCAGAGGCTCAACCTTTCTTGGGCTGGCAACCGTGGCGCTCTCACCCTCACTAGCTTCAGCAGGTCAGACTCTCAGCGTGGGCTCTCAAGGATAGAAATGGCCTTGAAGAACTTGAAAAGTTGCGAAATAATGCACACAAGTTTACCCAACTCTGGTATTTCATAGTAGTGTGTGGTAATTCTTAATCTTGATTCAAATGAAGCACTTGTTAATACCGCAGCTGTGCATCTATCCTTATTTCTCCTTTTTCCACAGTTTCATGAAGGTGTGTGGGCTAAGTCTGGTGTGTCTGGAGCTGTCTTGCTGCCACTTCCTGAATGAGGCCTGTTTGGAGGTCCTTGCCCAGACTTGTCCAGGGCTACAGGAGCTAAACCTGGCCTCCTGCGACCGCCTTCACCCACAGGCCTTCATACACATTTCCAAATTTACACGTCTCCGCAGACTAGTGCTTTATCGTACCAAGATTGAGGTAGGCGCGGTCATCACGCATCCTCACATATATCAGTGACCTTGTTGTTTGTACACAAGTTGCATTGTTACCTCACAGCAATGCAAGACCGCTCTTTGTTTTGACATATTTTGTCTTTAACATGCAACCCTGAGTGGTGTTTTTTAATCCAACACAAAAATGCCCATTTTCGTGGTTCAATTTAGGCTCAGATTAAAAATACAAAATGGAAAACTGAGAAATGGCACAGAATTCTTCTGTCACCATTTAATTAGTTGGTAACGATCATAGGCAAAAGTTTTTTATCTTGTTAGCCTCACAAATCAGTTAGGAACGTGATCCGGGTACACAAACTATGACCTGGGCAAAATGGATTGTTTTCACGAGAACGAGTTTGCAACTCCCAGCTGCATGTGTCTCCTGTGGATGTCTGTGACTATCCATGCATCCATTTTCCGATCCGCTTTATCCTCTTCCCAGCTGCATGTGTCACTTTCATAAATCTCCTGTGGATGTCTGTGACTATCCATGTATCCATTTTCCGATCCGCTTTATCTTCACGAGGCTCACGGGCGTGCTGGAGCCTATCCCAGCTGTCTTCGGCTAGGAGGCCGGGGACACCCTGAACTGGTTGCCAGCCAATCGCAGGGCACACAGACGAATCACCATTTGTACTCACAATCACACCTCGGGACAATTCAGAATGTTCCATGAACCTCTCACGCATTTGTACTCACAATCACACCTCAGGACAATTCAGAATGTTCCATGAACCTCTCACGCATGTTTTTGGAATGTGGGAGGAAACAGAAGTACCCGGGGAGTGCATGCAAACTCCACACAAGAAGGCCGACGTGCTAACCAGCTGATCACCGTGCCGCCCTTTCATTTTAAATTAGGACTCATATCAACGTTTTATTTTAACTTAAGATTCAACCAAGCATCTTTTTTCAGAGTTCAACATGTTTTTAATACCTGCAGAAATACAATTTTGTGTTCCCTGTAGCAGTTAATTGATTTCATAAATGCAACCCACTTTTTGTTTTTGCATGCAGGTACAAAAACAAAGAAAAAAAGGATGACATATGCAGGATGATCTTCATTTTTTTTTTGTTCTTTCTGTCTGACTGTGTGTCTGTGTTAGACAGCCGAAATGGCTCCTTGAGTATTTATTTAAGTTTGACTCTAAAGTTGGAAGACATAGCATTTGGTTTGATTGCTGTTTATCCATCAAAAGCATCGTTTTCAACACATTGGCATCCCCATGAAACATAAAATGTGGACTAGTTGATAGTCACTTCAACAACAACATTTTGGAGGTCATGTAAATGCAACCAATTAACGATTTAACTCGGGCATGTGTTTTTTTCACAAATTCCTATTTATGATCTGAGCCTTTTCTTTTTGTCATATTTTGGTGTTGGATTAAAAAAAACAGCATGCATGCACACTGTCTTAAGGTGTGTATTTTTAATGTGTGTTTATTCAATGGTACGTCTCAGAGTCGCCACCATTGGTTTTAAAATAAGGAGCCGGTGAACTCTGATCACAGGCGGACTCTGACATGCTACAGTGCTCTTGTTCAGGGTTGTCTGAAAGATAAAAAGTTGTGACTCTGGTGTCAGATCTTAGTGGTTTTAGTTCTATGTCATGTTTTCATACTGAGGCGTGAGAGACACAAGTTAAGTTTCTGCATTGGATGGATGGAGCCATGCATGCAGTTTCCTGCTTGTTGTTTACAGCGAGACAGACAGAATGAGCAGTGTTTTTTTTTTTTTTTTTTTTTTTGTCAGGCTGTCATGATCTTGTCACTCAATGCATAAATGTCTCGCTCGCCGAAAAGAAGATGCCAGAGGCAGAGTTGAGCATGTCTACGTACGCTGACACTGTTTCCCTGCTGATAAATGTGTCCGCATAAAAACTCAACCTTTCCTCACGTACAGTTGGTGTACTCTCGACTGAGATTATTTAAGCTTAATTTGTCATCCTTTTGCACTTTCAAGTATATCAGCATTTATTTTGAATCATTTTAATCATGTCCTTGGTAACAAGGTCAAGTGCGTGTAATGGGTGTCGGCATAATACGTTTTAAGCAAAGTCAGATACAGTATGTCCGTTTTTGCATTTGAATGAAATGGAGATGTCGGGAGGGATTCTCCAAACTCAACCGTCTTTTGGATGTGTACAGTTGATATACAATTCTTCCATTCCTCTTGTCTTTTCTTCCTTGCTGTCTCTGTAGCAAACAGCTATTCTGAGCATCTTGACTTTCTGCATTGAGTTGAGGCACCTGAACCTCGGAAGCTGTGTCAGGGTGAGAATAAACACGACATCAACACGAACATAAATTAGAATAAGCCTTTATTAGTTAAACAATGAGGACATTCGCCATGTCGTGACAGAAAGCAACACCTCTTTCATAGCATGAGACGTTTATAGAAACTAGCATCTAAATGCTCCTTTTAGTCAGACAGGTGGACACGCGGACATATTGATAGACAAGATGGATGGACAGCGAGACAAGACTGATTGCACGTGTACCTTACTTTTTACCCAAAGTCCACTGGGATAGAAAATCAAAACGGCACACAAGTTTGAATGGCTGAGAGCTTTGTTTTATTCATTCATCAAATTAAAATTCATATGTGGCTTCTTGCTGGCTCAGTCTAAGTGTTCTTCTGGAAAAGTGAAATTAGTCTGCGCGTTCTGTTTGCTGGCATTTTGCTGCCACCAGCATGCTTTGTGGTGTGTGGTGTTCTTGTGGTGGGTGCAGGTTTTTTTTTTGTTTTTTTTTTTTTTGGCATAACAAAAAGATTTAAATCTTTGTTTTAACAACGTGTAAGGTAGAGATTTAAAAGTGTTTCCCTTTTCCTCTGGAAGATGAATCTTCCATGTTGAACTCCAAGTCTCAATGCAGATGTATGAGGAAGACAAGACATGGTCAACACATTTAGTGCCCAGATCGAATTGCCAAATATTACTGCAGTTTTTTTTAATGAGGCTGCTGGCTTGTTGGCAGCTTCACTGACCAGTTTTGTTTCCATTTCCAAATGTCAATTTCAAAAGGACACCCAGTTCTTTTTATCACTGCTCTGCCGTGTTGTTTGTGCACTTGCTGTACTGTGGATGTCCAGGCAAATGCCTTGAAAATGATGTGTAACTCTTTTTGATCATGTTTTTGATCTACTTTGGAGAATGTTGCTTTTTGCTGTAAACCTCAACAAAAAGTAACATAATGGTGAAGATGTTTCAATCATCACGTTTTGGGGGCCAGGTAACTATCGGGCTTAATTAGAATCACTCTGTAAATAGTTTGGAATTATTTAACATGAATTTGCATCTCACTACCTTCTGAGCTGATCCATATCCCAGCCAGCTGCGCCACAGTTCAGCAACTGCATTATTTCGTGTTTGCATATTTGTCTTTGAATGTAAGGATTTCAGTTTCTTTTTTGAATAAGTTGAACATTCACGCAATCGAACTTCTAAAACATGTATTCTACCTTTGGTTGTGGGTGAGCTCGAGCCTTTTCTAGCTGACTCTGGGCGAGAGGAGGGTAAACCTTAGACTGGCCACCAGCCAACCACAGAGCGCATAATACACACAATTCATTGATCTTCTCAGCCAAATACCAAATATGAGCAGATCATTACCAAAGCTTGAGGTTTACAGTTCCACTACGAATGCTGGTTAATGTGCCCTGACTCACCGTGATTGTGTACAGATTGAAGACTACGATGTTGTGGCCAGTATGCTGGCTGCTCGTTGCCGCTCACTATGTTCACTGGACCTGTGGCGCTGCAGAAACCTGACAGATCGTGGTCTGAATGAACTTGTCTCTGGCTGCAGGTAAGTCAAATTTACCTCTGACTGCCGGCGGCAGTTCAAAGCTGACCTCACTTGAGGTGGCTTGTAAATTTTGGAGTCCACTCAGTTGCCTGACCGTTTGTTGTTTGATCTGTGACTGCTCAGAATGTTAGAGGAACTGGACTTGGGCTGGAGTCCCACTCTGCAGAGCAGCACTGGATGTTTCCAGCACCTCGCTCGCAGCTTACCACGCTTACGCAAACTTTTCCTCACTGCCAATCGCACAGTCCGTGACTCGGACATCGAAGAGTTGGCCTCCAGCTGCCCCTTGCTCCAACATCTAGACATACTGGGTAAATGATTTCCTTTTACATTACACAATAGACATTGCGTGTGTCATGTCAATCACTGGTGGCAGCAACACTGTCACACAAGTCAGTCACTAATCACCACAGTAACTGTGATGAACAAATAGCGGCAGGCTATGTCCTGCAATGTTCTCAAAACTTGGACTTGTTGTTTGAGAAATGCAAATTTGTAATTCTGGTGAATTGCAAGGCAGGTATTTGCCTCATTTATGTTTGGCCCCCTCACTCAGAACTCAAGTCAGACTCTCAGTCATTCGAATTATCTGCGGCCGTGCATGTCCATTAGAAGCTAATTGTGCCTTTTTATTTGTGGCATGTGTACAATGTTATTGATAAGAACACCAAAGCATGATGGCGATAGATTGACCCATTGCAGCTCACTGCATTTTGTCCTGCACGGTGGACATGGATACAACCAAAATGTCAACGCAAATAGTGGAAGCTCCAAGGTCAAACGCAATCTGTTACAAGGTGCTGGTTGAGTTCTAATTTGTTCAAATGTTAAAACAGGACATAATGGAAATGGAAAAAAAAATCCAGTGTCAAGTGATTGCAATCTTGATTAGGATCAAGTGAATGAAATACTGTCATTTGACATGAGTCAATTCTATGGCGACACCGCTTGTGCATATTTGTTTTAATGAGCATAATCAAACATCCCAACTTTATTGACTTCATATTCATGTTGTGACATGTCAGGAACACGGCTTGTGAGTGCTGCCTCATTGAAGAAACTCCTCCAGTCGTGTCCAAAGCTGCTCCTCCTGGATGTCTCCTTCTGCTCCCAAATAGACACAAGGATAGCTCAAGAGCTATCCAGCCTCTTCCCCGGTGTAGCCATCAAGAGGAGTTTCACACACTGACCCCAGCGCGCTCTCATTTCTCATTGCCTTGAGAGAGTCGGAGGAGGCACAGCAGAAGATGGAGACACGCTTCAGTATCACAACATCTTCTATTAGCGGTCAGTAAATAAGTTAGTCAACTTGGGGATGAAGATCTTTGGATTGGAAAGGAACAAAAACCAAGTCAAAAATCAACCACAAACTCACACCCGGAGGTCTATGAAATTCGAAACACAAGTATTTTGGGACACAGTGAAGCAACTGCATCTCTGGAATGTGAAACAGCACTTAGGAATGATCAGGGCTTTGGTCAGTGCCTTGTCAGATTGACCATTAGACCAGTATCATCTTGCTATGCCGGAAGATAAAATTCCCATTACCTTTCAGCAGGTTTTGTGCTAAAACTGAGCTGTATTTGGAACTGTTCATAATTCCCTCCGCCTTGACTAAGACCCCAGTTCCAGCTGAAGAAAAACAGGACAAGCATGATCCTGCCAACACCAAGCTCCATTGAAGGCGATGAGCAGTGTTGTTTGTGCCAAGCATACCTTTGGAAATGAGAACCAAAATGGTGAACCTTACTTTTATTGGACCATGTCATCTTGACTGAGAAACTGTTCTCAATTGCTCTACCCGATTAAACGAAGAATAAATAAATAGAATACACACTTTTCCCACCTTTGTTTTGTTGTTAGCCCAGATAAGCAGACAATAGATTATTGTGACATGTACTCAAAAGAAATTCCTGAAGCTCTTTCAATGTTGCTTTTAGCCCCCTGAGAGCCTCCCCGACCTGTTTTCTTCTCGTCTTTGCATCGATTCTGGAAGAACGTCCAGTTCTGTGGTATGCCACTGTTATGAATCAGAGGGACTATAAATTGTGGCAGGTGTGTGCTCATCTCCCATTTAACATGACAGTGGCACAAGGTGGAGTCCTCCCATCTCCAAAACCAGCACTTCTCAGGAAACCAAATAAAAACGGCATGTTTGTTTCGCCGTTAACATTGCATTGTCAAAGAAAGCAAACCATTTTCAACTCTGATCATTGATTTGTAAAATTAGCAGACACACGTAGGGACCAAACAATAGAACAGGTTTTTGAAAAAAACAAAACAAAACAAAACATTAAATTGACCAAATTTCGACATATCGAGTTTCGGCTGATGCCAGCAATGAGTTTGCATCAGAGATGAAACCATTGTTCGACAATGAATCGATTAAGATAAGAAAACCTTTATTAGTCTCGCAATGGAGAAATTCCCATTGCGAGACTAATAAAGGTTACCAATGCAATCGAAAACAGTTTTTGATGATCGATTGATGGTTTACAGACCTTGTTTAATTTAAACGTGTCTGAATCCTCCTAATTTCAGCCTGTCAACAGTAAATACACCCAGATTGTATTTCTGTCCTCCTCCATGAAAGCAGACAGATTATTTTGTTGAATCAAAATGAAACATATGTAGATATCTGCTTTTACTTTGGAAAACAATGATTAACAGTTTTGCCTTGGAGATTTTCTGACAGGACCAAACCAGTAACTGAATCAGAATTAATTTATTTGTGCATTTTCTACACTTTCAATTGGAAATTATGTCCTGTTTTTGGATAAAGGGATGGAAATGAAAACCACATTTTAAAATCCAATTCATTGATTAACCGCCAAAATAATTGAATTATAATCGATGATTGAAATAATTATTTGTAGCCCTACTTTGAATGTGACCCCACATATCTATCGATCAATAGATAAATACACACACACATTGTGTTCAGTTGTAAAAGTTATAGGTCACATGGATGGTAGAAGAAGTTATATGTATATATTTATTCAAGTTAATTTTAAATGAATGTGAGGGATAGGACGCCATACGCTGAACAGGCGTTCCATGAAAATGTAAATACATGCGTCATTATGCAATAGTGTTACTGGAAATATGTGATTTGAAATACAGGGGAAACCTTTTATTTCAGATGTTTTGCAATGACATCATCCAGTCAACACAATTTTTTTTTCTTCAAATCACAGACTTGCGTGAAGGAAAATTGTGGAATTTCATCATCTCAAGGAGTCAACATTGAGTTAAAGGAAGTCTTTGTGTTTTGAGAGAGTGATGACTCTGTGGTCAATAAATGAACAAAAAAAAAAACTTGGAATACTTGGCATGTTAAGACTATTTTTGTTTTCATTTTCAAAAACATTGGAGACATTTCCTCGAACAATGATCGAATAGTTTTCCATGCATCGATAATTCATTAGTGGTCAGCCTGACTGATCCATTCAATTTGTTTGTGCGTCTTGTACTTTACCAAAGACACTTTTAAGTACAACACCAGTCATGACATGGCAAATTAACGTCAACGTAACCAGAACCCGATATTTTTCTTCGGACACAACCTTTTCCCTGTTGTCCTTTGGTCTGAGCTACCAGTCATTGCTGTTTGACCATTTAGCTACCCAGCAACCAAAGAGAAGCTACTCTTGGCTCAAGACATCCTAAAATGACACAGTGTCATACTGTTTTGACCATTTGTCGTGAGACTCAGGGGTTCATCTCGTTTTCCTTTTGTACTGCGTTTGCTACAAATCGACAAAGGAGACATACAGTTACAAGCATACTACCGATCACTGTTTCATCGCTGAATTAGCTTTACTTGTAACTCATTCAATCCCAGCCATTTTCACTGGAGCAACCCCCTCAATCCCAGCGTTTTACTGGATTTTGACTGATCTTGCAAGGCCCACAGAATATTTGGTTCTAATGCTATATAAACATGAAGCCTACCAAAATAAAGTTTGGACTCTCTTCTTTCAGCAGAAAAAAATGTTTCTATCTTTTTCCATTCTTCAGCAATTGGGATTACAAAATGGCTAAGTTTCACGAAAATGGCGATTCCTGGGCAAAAAACAGAGAAAAAGAGCTTTTTGTGAAAGCATGCATTTCAAGCATGTGAGGCACCACTGCCACCTACTGGTCGCTTTTTTTTACATGATTTACAATGCAAACGGCTATTCTCATTCACAGATTGCATCAGACCCTCCTCCTCGCTATGACGCAAAAAAAAAAAAAAAGACTTAAACGTACAAATACGCCCTTGGTAGGCGGGGCCTAATTTTAAAAAGACGTACGTCTTTTGGAATGAAAGAGATAAATGTGATGTATCAGATTGCATATCTTTTGGAATTTAGAAAATGGTGCGACCAAATCCCCATGAATCCAGTCTGTGTTATTTAATGATTGTCATACTTAACGTGTACATGTTTCAGCAGCTCAACTTTTGGCGATTGTTGTTGTACCTCGTAGCAAGAGCATAACACATCAGTACTGATATATTGGTGCAAAATTGTGCCTTCTATTCTTTTTTGACAGTGGCAGTGTTTGTTTTGTTTGATTGATTGCATTTCCGCCAATGTGATGGCAAGTTACTTTCCCTGTCACAACTTGACTTGTCGATACACATGTGGACAAAATTGTTCGTATCCCTCTGTCATGAAACAAACCCCCAAAAAATAATAAAAGAGATAAAATTATTTCAATAATCGTAACAATCAATGAAAATGTATTAAAAATCAACCCGTGAAAGTCAGACGCCGCTTTTGAGTTTTGGAAGTTATCTGCTGAAATACTTGTGGAATACAGGGCTTTATTTTAGTCATATTACATGTGAATTATGACTTAGACAACTCAGCCAAGTGAAACTGGAGGACAAATAGCCTGTTACAAATACATTAAATTACAAATCTGAATCGTACGTGGACTGGCCGCATGCATTTCTTTATGTGTTTCAGACTGACTACCCAATGGCTTGACACTTCCAGTTGTGCATCAGTTTATGTTGATGTTGGCAATACAGTTGTCTATACAATTCTGTCCAACAGCACTATATGTGCGACGTGTATCTTAACTCTAAAGCAGATCGGTATAATGTGTAAAACACATTGTTGTCATTTATTTTTGGATCCTCTATTCTGTTTCCAAAAAGAAAAAAAATATCCTTCATAGAGCAACAGCGAAAATGGTCATTTCTCTTTAATGTACAGCTGCGTCACATGTCACCTCACAAAGTTGGTTGGTAACCTCTGATTATTTACTGCAAGGCTGACTGAATGAAATTCTTTCAGTTTTTGAACGTTTAACCCCCCCAAGCCTGAATGTGTGATTGATTAATCACGGTGCCATATAGGCTGGGCATGCCATGCTACACTGAGCCTCTGCTGATAGTTTAGTGCTTTAGTTTCTGTTTGTGTGAAAATATTGGGTGCTTCACTTGAACCAAATGTTAAAAAAAAAAAACAAAACTGATGGGTGATTGATGTATGAGGACTTCTTTTCAAGGTCCATGCAGACATGAGTGTTGTACAGTTGAAATGGTTCTAGTATATCCTACCCGAAGTTATTCATTTACCAATGTCTTGATTTATGAGCAAGCGGATACTTTAGGTTCTGAAGCCACAGCCGCAACGAGGACAAGTGCAGCCACTAGCCAGGATGACTGAATGGAAGCAAATGACGGGATGATCCTTTTTGACTTGGCCCTCTGCTGTTTTGCAGTCTATTAAAACCACGGGGAGAAGTGACACGAGCTTGTCTCCTTAACTGCCTTTTAATTAATTGTTTGTGCCTGGATTAATGATGTATATTGTGGCCCTGTAATGTGCCCTAATGACAGAGAATGAGGCGGCCTCAACTGGAGTATTAATTTAGGCTGCCTCCCCAATGATTATTCCTCAGCCAGTTCTCAGTGTGAGGATGCAAACAGGATTCATGGAGGCTTTCCTGCAAGGTGCTGTCGTCTGATTCCCCACTCACTTTTAGTTAGGAGGCTGTTTTATCCGAGGGGAGGACTCCATGTATTTGTTGAGCATTTAGCATGTTTGTTAAATCTGTGGGAGATGAGTTTGGATCTGCTCTATAGGGGTGTTCACACGGCAACATTTGGTCCGACACAGCACCGGCGCTGCGCCAGTTGAGCGTTCACACGTGCAAATTTGTTCCGGCGTAGCGCCGCTAAACAGCTTACACCGGACCAAATTTGATCCACCTCAGGGAGGTGTTTTAAAAATTTGCTCCAGAGCAAATGCTCGTTTGCGGCACAGCACCAATGTAAATTTGCACGTGTGAACGCTACAATAGTTTACACCGGAGCAAATTTTGTGGAGCGTTCACACGTACAAAGCCGCTGAGCGTGGCAGCACCGACAATGTGTGATCGCTGAGTGGTTCAACGGTATAATAGTTTGGAATTTTTCCTCATAGTTAATTATTATCCTATTTTGACTTTTGTTTTAAAAATTCAGTTTGGTTTTAGAGCAGGTTTGTTTTTATTTTATTTTTTAAAATAGTTTTAGTATAACGGTACTTTTTTTTGGTCTGGATTATATGTTGAGTGTAAAACAAAAAAAAGGCACTAAGAATTGTTTAAGAAAGTAAACTACAAATGACAGTTTGACTTTCCTTCTGCTTATGTGCAGCAACACCAAAAAATAAATACATTTATAATGAATCCTGAAAGCTCATGTATTATATTAATTGAAAATGAAGAAAGATTCAATTAAAGGACATTTTTGCTGGAATTATAATTTGCTTCAGTTAATTTTATAAATTTAAAATGTAGTTGCAATTACTTGTGCTAAGCGTTATCATTTATATTTTAAATCATTAATAATTATTTATTTA